TCAGTAACTGAGCAATAGCCGTTTAACATTTTACTGGTTTAAAAAATTCTCAAATTTACTTAATTATCTCTTTATGGCTGCAAGAAATTGAAACCACCCATATGACTAAGTAAAAATAATCCTGGGAGCACATTTCTATATGTAAAACTTTCTTCAGTATTTGCAATTATTTCCTTAGGACAGGTCTCTGTTCCTGGGTTCAGTAGCTCTAGAGGATTCTATCAACCTGCCCTTCTATCCAGATACTTCCATCCCACTTGAGGAAAATAGTTAAAAAATAACTTGGAGGGCACTTACCCATATGATTTCAGATTCACTCAAGATATCCGCCATGATCATGTCCCGACGATAGCCCCAGGAGTTCTTGTCGATGCTGGTGCACATCTCCCATTTGTGGTCCAGCAAGCTCTGGGGCCGGAATTTATCTTGACAGTTGTAGAACCCTCCATGGTGACAGGACGTGTTCCTACCCCATCGGTCATTTACCACCACCTTAGCCTGAAGGAGGAAGGGCTGCGTCATTGGAGTAACACCACCTGGTTCCTCCACAAGACGCAGTTTGATAGGAGAAGAGTCTACTTGGAAGTAGGCACAGTGAACCTAAAGCAGAGGGTCTCAAATACGGACAGATCTGTCCTGGCGGGGCATCTGGGAAAGATCAGAGACATTCTTGGTTGTCCCACCTGGGGTGGTGCTGCTGCCTTCTGGTGGGCAGAGGCCTAGGATGCTGTGACACACCCTATAGGGCACAGGATAGCCCCCCAAACAAAGGAACAGTCAGCCCCAAATGTCACCGGAGGCTGAGGATGAGACCCTGTCCAGAGACATATGATAGACAGCAGAGCCAGGAGAGGCTGCTTTGAGGACCAGCCACTTCCACAAGAGGAAGAATATAGAGGAAAGACTCATCTGAGGTCTTGTCCCTGGGCAATTTCTAAAGCTGGGACAAGGAATTAGGCATCTGAGTCCAGCTCAGGTCACCTACTATTTCACAACCCTAAAGCCAGCAAATAATCATTTTCTTCTTTTAAGATTTAGCTGATTAAGAGAAATCACTACACAGACTATCTTACTGTGACATTTAATATATAGCAGTGTATTTTAATAACACTATCAGCTCTACTGGCAGAAGGACATTCAATAAAAACAAAATTCTACTTTCTTGCCTGATTTAAGGCCATTCACATTACTATGGACATTCTTCCTATGAAGCTAGTTGAGGACCAAAGCAAAAGAAAACATTTGTTATTTGTAGCTAATTTGATTCAAGGTCCTATGCTCAATTATTAATATCCGGACATCATCAGAATTGAAAGGGTCAAGAAAAAAAACCAACAACAACAAAATCAAAAACTCAAAGGGTGGGTTCACCAGGGGCTCTGAGGGTCCCACCTGTGAGTCAGAGGAACTCAGGCAGGTGATTTTACCTTGTAAGTCTAGTTATCGGTAAAAACAAATGAACGAAATGTTCAAAAAACAAAATGTTCAAAAAACAAAACTCAACTAACTACAAACCAACCAAAGGAAAATTACCTACCTCCTGGGGACTTTCAAAAGGATAAAAATGATAGCATCATGGCCCTGGCACAGAATGGCTGCTCAGGAAGCCCTCATTCCTGCCTCCTTTACCTCTCAGCCTGAGAGGATCTGCACCCCTGTCTGTATACTCGGTCCTTCAAGGACAGACACAGCCTTGAACTTCTTCATACTCACAGTCTAACTGGGTACCCCACGCTTCTGGCGGATTGTGGGGACTTAGGACACACCTCTGTTGTCTTCCTGATCACCCTACAATGCATCCTCTCACTCTC